GAAACTTTAACATGTTTAGATGTAAAAGCATTCTCACAAGCATTCCTCTTAAAAAATGATTAATTTTTCCATTCTTCATCTTTATTTCTTCTGCCTTACAAGAAATCATCAACGACAATCAATAAACTAAATTTATATAATATATATTATATTTCAAACAGAAAAAAAATCGAAATTTTTTTATTGTTATAAGTTATAAAATATATTGTTGTGATAAGTTAACACAATCACAAATTCACAATAAAGCCTATTGTTATAAGTTATAACAAAAGGAAAAAACACTTTACAAGTTAATAATAATAATCATCAAATGTGATTTAAAATCACTCATTTAGTTAAGCAATTTCACATTCTAAAAAATAATAATTAGTATTAACAAGTTTAAATATAAAATTCTAACCTCTTGTGTTAATTGAACATCTCACTCAGAAATAAAGAAATAAAAATATTATTCAATAATCAGAAACATATAATTTTAACTATTACTTTGTCTATTTTTAGGGTGAAACTTTAGGGAAAGCAACAAAATTTTAGGGGAAAGTGGAAACATACAGTTGTAGGGTTTAGGGGAAGCGATACATTTAAAAAAAAAGATAGAATCAAACAATAATATATATATATATATATATATATATATATATATATATATATATATATATATATATATATATATATATATATATATATATATATATATATATATATATATATATATATATATATATATATATATATATATATATATATATATATATATATATATATATATATATATATATATATATATATATATATATATATATATATATATATATATATATATATATATATATATATATATATATATATATATATATATATATATATATATCATTGAAAGGAAAAATTATTACCTGAAGAAAGAAGAAGCAAAGAGAAGAAGATGAAATTTAGATACGTGTAAAACAAGGAGAAAAGAGAAGAAGCTACGATAGAGAAGTTTTGTGTAAAGACTGTCTAAAATGGAATGAAATTTTTTCATATAATAATATTTTTTAGGGTATTATAGTAAAAATATATATGGTATAAAAAATTGGATAGACCGTGCCCCACTACAACCCTCCTCTAGTTTCGCCTCTGATCTTGGAGAAGATCAAATGTTGAATATTTCCTGAATATTTTTCTAATATAAACAAAAAAATAGGTTATATAAATAAAATAAATATTCATTTATATGATTATTTAAGAACACAAACTTTGAACCCAAATATTTTTATGCTCTTACAATCTATCATAAAGAAGTTTTCCAAGCTTCAATAAGTTTCAATTCATGACAAATGCTTTCAATGATAAATTTTTTATATTCATAATCCTTTTATAATGTAACATGAGCCTTCTAAATGAATATCTTTTAAGTTTCATGCGGATCACTAAGGATAGTGTCTTGAGTGTTGTTACTCACTAAATATACATCTAAGTTTTGTTTAAAGACTGCGAAGAAACTCAATAAACACCCTTATTTTTCTCCTCATTTATGACTCAAACCCGAAGTACAAAGTTTTTATTTTTAAATAAAAAATACAATAAATTTGGTACTTTTAACCTCGATTTCTAATAGAACTGAGGTAATTGATAACATCTATTGCTAAAAATATGGTGAATGGAAAAAATTGAACTAATATCTATTGTTTCCTTTTTCAGTTTTTATCATTCACCAATTTATTTATGTTGCAATATAATTAAGAATTAATTTCTCAATGTTGTCAACCGAAGAAATCAATATAGAAAGTTTTATTTGATTAACAACATTGAAAAGTTATTCCATTAAACATTGGCAAGAAGTGGAAACAACAACAACAAAAACAATACAATTACGTGAGATAAATTGTAATAACTTAAAAATAATTTATTAAAGGTTGGTGTAAGAAGAACAACAATACATAACCAAATTTTTTGTCTTTCAATCCATTAAAAAGAATGAAGTTTAAGAGTATGGAGCGGATGAGCATGTGAGTTAGGTTTAGGGTAAAAATTTGTGAAGGAATCCTTTTATAATAAAATTTGGGTATCATATCCCTCAGTTATTTGAGAAATCGAGAGAATAAAATATTTGATAATAAAATAAAATTTTAAATAATAAGAAAGACATCACTTTTAAAGAAAACTAAAACTGCAATTCCTGGAACTCGAAGCATGTGTCCTTAATTAGCTTATCCCTTAGTTTTATTCTTAAATCGAAGAAATAGATGATAATTTCTTGAAAAAATAACATAGAGCATCTTAGAATTTTACCTCAGCTTTTTGTTAGGTGAGGTGAAATGTTTATCATAAAATGTGATATTTGTAGTAGTATTTTTAGATTGTGACATATGTCAGGAACATGTCTCACACCTTTCAATGTTAGTTCACACCATTGTTTATTTCAAGGAAAACATGTCATTTTCCCACAATGTTGGATTTATTATCATTTCACGTTATCACATGAGAAAAATCGTTGATCTTATACTAATAAAAGAAACCCTTTTCATGAGGTTACATGGAATGAGGTGCCTGAATCCATAACACTTCATGTTTCTTGTGATGTGAAATTAACATGACAATCATTACAAATGAATATTACATCATTTCCTTGAAAAAATGGTAGATGCTATGTTACTTTCATAACCATTTTCTTGTGCCCTTTCTCGTGACAGTAGTAACATTTTGCATCGTTTCTTGTCCTCGGCCTTCTCTCGCACTCATCTTTAGATTTTCCTGTTGACTTATCTCTTGCTTTGACTTTCTTGTGGATGTTTCTTCCAATATATTTTGTGACAAGGGCCTAAGACTCAGTCCATATTCCTTATTCTTTGAATCTTCATTAAAAATACCATCTTTAACAATGTCCAATGTTAGAACACCTTGCAGCGATGAGTTACTAAATGAAACCAAGTGTGTCTCAGTTGTTTGGAAAGAAACTTAATAGTAATAAGGCTTGTAATTCATATTCAAACAACATCTCTATATGGGTGAGTTGATTTAGAAATCCTTGAATTTTGCTCAAGTGTTCGAAGAAACTCAAAGTTTCTATGTACTTGAGGTTCATCAATTGCCTAATAGCGGAGAATTTATTCTAGGTCGCTTTTCTCTCTTAAAAGGTTTTTAGTTTCTTCTATGATCTACATACAACTATTTCTTGCATAACGTGACGAAAGAAACTTTGATCTTTCAATTATCGAAGAAACTAGAATAAATGAAGGCATATAAATAATAGGACTAACTTTACAAATAATATATGTATAGTCAGTCTTATATTAAAACCAAAGAATTTGAAAGACAAATAAACCTTAATAATAAAGAAAATAATCATCTTACAACAAGAAACCACCAAACACAACTAGTACCAGGAAAGAAGGAAAAAATAAATATGGAACAACGACAAGTAAAAGACAACAACCATAAAGCCTAAAATAGAAGGAATCACCCATAAGCAAAACGCAACTACTAAAGAATCACGTCGCTACTCTCAAGGTAGGTCTCAAATCAACCAAATCCACCATCAACAGACCAGAACCCAAACAAAAATGGTACTGAAGATCTACCACCACACTCTAAATCAGAGCAAATACTCAATCTTCTATACATGTAGGTAGAGAATTGGGTTCTGAAGGAAATCCATGAAGGTGCAAGAGTTCACTTCCGATCTACCCAAAAACAATTTCTAGGCCAAAAAAGAATCTTCTCTTCCACTTCTGTCGCTCTTTTTATGACTCCATTAAAGATAACATCCTTTCGGACTTTCTAAATAGACCAGATTACAACATGCCAAACCAAAAGGTAGCCTCCCCCTATACTTAACCTACTTCCTGAAGAATGAAAGGACTCACAAGAAACAAAAAGGTTAAAGGAAATTTCAATCAAACACTCGCAAAAGAGACGTGAAAGTCTAATAGGATAAGATAACACCTCTCTTCTAAACAGGTTAGCTCTGGAAGGGAGTCTATCCTGCAATAATTGTCAAAAGAATACCAAGATCTAAGATGGAGCCCAACTACTCCAAATAAAGAAAAGAATATGACTCTGGACAAATAGTGGAATCATAGAAGAAGCCAAGTTCTCCCTCTAGACGAGATAAGGAAGATTAGTGAGAAATTATTGTCTCTAAATATGTTCAAGTCCACTTATCTCTATCCAGGATAAGGTTCACTACTCTAAACAAGACATGAAACTCATCAAGAACAAACAACTCTCTATAGAAGAATGATCTCCTCCATCTAAGGTCTCAAATGAAGACTCCATTGACAACCTCTCTCATCTGTCCCACCTCCCCTTCAGTCTCAAGAGAGTTGGAGAACATGTAAGAAAACTTAGATCTTAAAAGAGTACTCCTTAACCAAAGTCCTCCCAAAAGAAACTATGGAAATCCAAGCCGACTTTCCTATCAATACCTCCAGAAAACCAAACCAATATGAGCCACACTCCTTTATATTTTTTAAATTAGAAGCTGTCCAACACACAAATATGTTCCACGACATAAAACATAGATATGAGTGATTATACTATCTAAGGTTTTTCACTCCAAACCGTCCCTCTTCTTATTAACTAAACTCTCTTTTCATTTCAATACACTAATGTTCAATATAAGACACTTAATTCTTCATGTTAACACTGATACTTATTAATAAATATTCTAAATAAATAAACAAGTTACACAAATGCAGTTTTATTCCCTTAAAAAAATAATAGGAAAAAGTATCTCTCAATTAGGTTTTCTACTGTAACTTTAGTCATGTATAGTTTTAATCACTGAACTTACACTTGTATGGTAATAAGTGTAAAACTAACACTGTGTTAATAACATGGTTCTTTCTTAGCATCTACCTAACACAAATAAACAAATTGATATTCACTGTCCATATATAGAAAAAGACAAGAAGGAAAATATAGTTTTGTCTGGTTATGATATATGTTTGTAATAATTTTGTTACAATATGCATATTTTTCTGACAAGTACCTCAAATCTCACTTAGAATATGTCTCATTCATATGGTTAGATCCAAACCTATATTGACTCTTTTTTCTTGCTCCTTAGAATCATCATAAGAGGATTGAGTATACAAAGAGAGAGATAAATTGCTGTCAACTTCTAGATGATCTTCAATACTTCCTTGCTTCTTATGATCACCAATGATGTTTCTTGAACTTAATTTAAGTGATAGATCCAAATCAAGATCCAAATCTGAAGCTTTTCTTTTTAGTGTCTTCAATTCTACTTGATTTGCAGGCAAAATATCATTTTGCATGAAGTCTTGGACTATTGGCTGAGTATGGAGATTATCTCTTAAAGATTCATGGCTACAAAATGAGAGGAAATTTTCTTTGGGCTCATGAACTTGACTTGTTGATAATAGTTCTCTAAAATTGGAAGAATCCACTTGGAAAACACTACGAGTCTTATTGTTTGTTCTCTCAATCATTTTTCCATAGAAATCAGCTCTAGATTCATTTATTGAACTCATATGCACCATGTTTTCATACATAGAAAGAGATGCATCCCCGTATCCACATCTGTAAAAAAAAAAAACGAAACATCAGAACTAAAACATTTATTATAAAGATCATTTTACGACCGTATCCGAAGAGATTACTCTTTGAACTAAGTTTTAAGAAAAAATTTACTATGAAAAAAAGAAAAGCTTATGGAAGTGGTATATGCAGTATACCTATATGATGAACTTTGATTTGGAGTATAGCCTTGAAGCATAGGAAGTTGGGTGAGATTATAAATATTTTTGTCTACATTAATACAATCATAAATAATTGTAAGCACAAAACCCTAATATAGTCACTTATTGATGATGTTTAATTGAAATCATACAAAAAAGAAAACCTGTATTGTACCTTGATTTGTGTCAACTACTTTCTTGGTTCTATGCATCTGGAAAAAGAAATATATGTGAAGAAGTTAATTTAACTATTATAAACATTCATAAAAAAAAATAGGTTGCAACAATATTTATCTATAGCTTTTTACCTGTAAATGACTCTTCACATGAGCAATACTTAAACCTTTTATATTCATCAATTGAAGAACCAATTTTGGAGTTGCTCCTACAAACAAGAAAATTATTAACAATACATATTCAAAAATATTAAATAAAAACAAACAAAAAATTCAAATTTGTTAAACCTACCTAAAACTATTGAGATCCCCAAGATAAAATTGAAATTAAGAAAATGCAATAAAAAGCTATATGTATCCATTCGGATGCGGATCACCACAGTCTATTAGAGTGTGTGAGCGTAAACTCTAGAATATTGAATTTTAGGGTATTGAATTCGATTTGTTGTAATAAAAAAAATTATTGTATGTGTGTGTGGAACTTACTCTCTTGTCCACCAAGTCTTTGAACAGCATGAAGAAATCGAAAATGAAGATCAGGAGTCCAACGTAGTCTAGGAAACTTGGATCTAACATAAGGTCTCACTGATGGTTTCTTTTCAGAATTCTCCTCAATAGTACTATTGCTTGAGCTTATTCCTCCATTGTTGTTTTGCTTACTTGCTTGATAATCTTCATTTGCATCACTAATTTCACAACCATCTTCATTAATTGAAACACTTGTCTTGGAACATATTGAGCCACATGTTTCTTCCTCCTTCATATCCATTCTACACTTTCCTTTGATGAAACTATTGGTGGAATAATCAAATCAAAAATTCATAAAATGAAATAGTTTGAGATTGAATATTATATTATCTACTTTCTCTCTTATTGTTTATCCTCCTTCAAACTTGGACATTGAAAAACAAAACCCTTGATCTTAGCAACATCTTAAGATTGATCTTCACCTTCTTCACACATGGAATTTAGAATACCTTCTCTTTATCTCTCTCTCTCTCTAACTCTATTTCTCTCCTTCTCTTTGTGGCCCTTTTGAGATGATAAATAAATAATTTATATTTTCATATCGTAAGCATGTTGGTGTGTATATTTTTATATGCATGGACATCAAGGAATGGGAAGAATATACTTGATTATTTCATGTGAGGACAATTAAGTTTTATCGTATCAACTTGAATAACAATTTGGGACATAATTAAATATAAACTATAGCTATTTGATATTATATTTGTTTATTATAAGGATATAGTAGGGGACCGTACATAGCATATACAATTATAGATGACAATCGATACGTATATTATAGATATACATACTAGTTTTCTAGTACCCGCTCTTTTATTAAATATGATATCTCTATCTATTTTATATCTGTGTGAATATATAGTAGACGGATATCTATAAATTTTGAGATATCTGTGAATATATACAAATATTTATAAATATTTTTATTTAAATATTTTTAAATAATATATATAAAATAAATTAAATTTATTATTCCCTTTAAAAAAAAAATTTCAAATTTAACACATAATAATAATAATAATAATAACAAAAATAAATCTCATTTATTTTATTTCTTCTTTTTTCAAATAATTATATTACATTGAACAATATAATAGTAGTTTCATAATCAACAAAATAATAATAATAATGATTATTATTATTTTAAATTAAAAATTTAATATTTAACTAAATAATTTTGTTAATTATTAACGAATACAGATACTCGCAGGTACGAGTATCATTATATCCGTATCCGTACTCTTAAATACACAGATAATTTCGTTTATTTTATCCGTAAATACCTATTAAACTATCATATTTGTGTCCGTGATAGATTTTATTCGCGGATACTCACGAATGCAATTTTTTTTTTATCTCTGTATACAATAGGTAAGAATAAAAAATACTAATAAAAATTAGAAACATTAGTTTACTTCTTGTGATGATAAGAATACAAATACAATGTTTTGCCAATATTGGAAAATTAAAAATTAAAAGAAAAAATAATAATTTATTTGTACGTCTCACTCCACAAATTCTTAGCTGCATGCGAAGTCAAACAGAGAGTTTGTTTTGTATCCAAATGATACAGAGTGTACGTACCATTCGATATAAAATAAAAAATTAATTACTTTAGCTAATTAGCTAATTGTTTATTACATAATGTTATGAAATATATGAGCACAAATTAATTACAAATTTGTACAAAATATTATCATGTACTTACGTTACAAAGTGTTCCATTAATCAATATATAGTGTACCATTTTACGTATTTTAGGTTTTTTTTTTTTTAAAAGGAGACAATTGTTTTATCCCTCACAATAAATTGAGTAGTGTATATTCAACAAATCATATAAAACTATTTAATTTTAATATATTTAATTATTTATTAAATAGTAAAATTATTTGTTGTTTTCAAAGCATTTTACTCCAAAAATAACTTTATCCAACTTTTTGAATTTGGTAGATAAGAATTCACATTTTTAAAAATCTTGGATAAGGGAGTTTTCTACTAAAGTTTTAGGACGCGGTTATGGGTGAGATTGAAAGGTTGAAAGAGAGGATAATTTCTTAAAATTTTAGATAGAGAAAATCTTTCTTCATACATGAAGAACCCTTAGTCTCTAAGATCTTCTCAGTTCTCCTAATTTTTCAGTTTAGTAAGGAGAGTGATAGGTGTATATGAAATTATTCTGAAAATATTTATATCTATGTAATGTCTGCTTATCAAGTCCATGTGGGCCTTTGTCCTTCATATGTGGCCCATGTTGCTAGTGTGAATTCCACACTGACTCATGTTTACGAGGACTGAGCTCCTTCTAAGGTGGTGGTTTTTTCCTAACAGCTTCTACTATAGGTTTTTCTCTAGAGAAAACCTTTTTAAAAGGAAGATCATTGTTAACTTGGAGGCAATCTCTTGTGTCCTCTGTGGGAACTGGCTTGAATCAACCTCTCATTTTTTTGTTACTCGTAGCTTAACTTCTAATTTTCTTTCTTTAGGTGCTAAGGTTAAGTTAAATGAAAATTTTCTTATGATTTGACATGCAGTGGTGTGATCCATTGGGTCTATGCGTAATGATAAGTATTTTTCTAATAAGTCAAAAAATGTGAATGAGGTGGAGGAAAAGAGTATTTGTTTTGCTTGAAATTGATTTCTTAACATGTCTATATTGAACTCATTATCCTTCTCTGACTGTCTTTAGAATTCTATCATGGGTCTGAAAGCGGACCAAGAGTTCTGACCTGCTCCTGAGGTGCTATGTGATTTTTGTGTTGCTTGGCCTTTTGGTCTATTAGTGATGGGTCTGGAGGTCTGAGCTTTTTCCAGATCTCTGTTGGGTGGTGTTTTTCCGAGTAGGTGTTCTACGGAGTTTCTAATTCTTTTGGATGTTTCTTTTTTATACTTGAGTTTTTCTTTTAAGTGTTTTTCTTTTTTGTTTTTTTTGTCATTTCTTTCCTCTGTTCCTTTGATATTCATTATGCCATTTTGACTTCGATGTTGTATGTTGTAGGGTTTAATCCTTTTTTCTTTATTAATATTTTTTTTTATTAAAAAAATTCATTGGCAATACTGAGTTGGTCAAATTGGTAAATAAAATTTAGGCACATTAAGAAAATTGTTGAATCTTTAATCTTTTGCATAAATTTAAGCATATTAAGAAAATTTTCGAATATTTAATCTTTTACATTCGACTTAGAACTTTTTTTTAAAATAAAGATAACTAATGACTAATTTCACACTAGTAACTAGTTTTTACACTTTTAAAGATCATTGTTGATCCAGGATTTGAAGATGTTTATATTTGATTGCTACTTTTTCATAGTTGCATTTTACATATGGTCAAGCCTTAGAATAGATTGGGTCGTATGTTTTTTATTAGATGTATCTACAATAACATCGCATGTAGAGAACTTTAGCTACATTGAGAGGACCAGACGCTCTCACTAAGTTAGTTGGTAGTGTGATGGGAACATCGGGACAAGATTGTCTGGGTCATGGAGGAAATCATATTAAATATGAAGATAAAAAGATGAGCATTAACATCAGACAATGCCTTTGTAAGGTTGCAGATGGACACATCAACAATTAAATTATTGGGTTCAACCAGAGTGACCTCCTATAATGGAGATACAATGAAGGTTTTGGAGGGTAAACACATGTACATGCTACTTCCCTCCATGCGACCACAATGTTCTTTGAAGCTCTCCTTATTGAGGAAGTCGACATTATTCTCAGGTGCAATAAATAGTTCTCTGAAGGGAAGTCGTTAAATAAAAATGATTTGCGAGCCCAACACCTTTTAGATGCACTTTGTAGAGAATGTTGTATTAGGGAAAGAGGTCTTTTAAGTGTGATGACTTCATAGTTAACATATGGTTTAAAGGAAGATACCCGCTAAGTTTGGAAGAGTTGTAGTCTCCACACCCTTGATATTATTAGAAAAGTCTGATGTTGTGATAAACCTTATTGTTGTTGGTTCTAATTAGATGTGACTAGTATATAAAAGGTTTCTATGAAAGAAGTTGGTAAAGATGTGAAAAAATATCTCAATGACTTTCCGTTTGTGGTTGGGGTATCAAGTGGTGTTGAAGCTTTATTGCACAGTGCAATTAGGGTGTTGAGAAAGCGAGATGAATATAGTTCTTTGGTTATGCTCATAATGAATTTCTAAAATTCGTTCAACATGTTTGATCGATCACCATTACTACACCAGATGAGAACTAGAAGACTATCTTTTTATTTAGGGGTTGAGTTTCTTTATGGTCAGAAAACAAGATTGTACCTTAAATATGAACTTATCATGTCATCCACTTTAGTGCAACAAGGAGATCAGTTGGTGCCTCTCTTTTTTTCTCTTGTGCAACATCCCCCTTTTCATAACACCATAGACAAATGCAAGCGTTTTATTCACGTTTGTCAACTTGATGATGGGACGGCTATACGAGATTCATAGGAAGTAGCTAAAGCCTTTGACATAATCTAAAAGATGGGTATACGATTAGGTCATGAATTGAATATTTGTAAAATTAGGATCTTTTGTCCTTCATGTGATAGACAATTAAAAAATTAGAGGTGAATAGTATCATAGGTTGCTATGAATGAATTTGGTAAAGGTGTGACAAAATATCTCAATAGATTTCAGTTTATAGTCGGAATATCAAGTAGTGTTGAGACTTTATTGCATAATACAATTAGAGTATTAAACAGGCAAGATAGATATAATTCTTTGGCCATGCTTACAATAATTTTCTCTATGTTTGATTGATCACCACTGTTAGGTGAGAGCGAGATGTCCATCTTTTTATTTATGAATTGAATTTCTTTATGGTCAAGAAATAAGATTCTACCCATAATATAAACTTATTATTTCATCCATTTAAGTGCAACAAGGAAACCTTATGGGCCTCTTCTTTTTGCTCTGCGTAACATCCTCTTTTATATATATATATATATATATATATATATATATATATATATATATATATATATATATATATATATATATATATATATATATATATATATATAATATATATATATATATATATATATATATATATATATATGTATATATATATATATATATATATGTATATATATATATATATGTATATATATATATATATATATATATATATATATATATATATATATATATATATATGTATATATATATATATATATATATATATATATATATATATATATATATATATATATATATATATATATATATATATATATATATATATATAT